GATGTAAACCCTCAGTTGAAGGGCTGGCAGAGTACCACAAACTGACTGAACTAAAAGTGATTTCCCAAAAGATTTGTGCTCAGAAGGCACAGTTGCTGGCTGTCAGCCACAAATGGCAAATATGAGAACAAAGATAGTACTCATTCATAAGCATTGTATTTATTATGCATAGTATACAGTTAGTTAATAAATGGAAAAATGTCATATTTGTAAGCACACCTCCATAAGTTTGGGAAATGAAAATGCTCAGTTCAGAAACACTGTTTTGCTATTTAAAGGGTTTTGCTCATCCACTGCTTTCCTTCAGAAAACCACAAGCCATGTATATCACAAGAAGCAAACAGTATCAAAATGACAAAACTATGTATGAGCTCTGTGTTATTCAAGGATACAAAATTTAGGAGGAACAGAATAATAAGCTAAATAATATTCTAAGTTGCTGTAAATTATCAGAAAGATATGTTAGAATCAGAACGGAAAAATGTCTAAACTTAGACATCAGTTTTCACAGAGATTGTTATTCAATAACAAGGGATTTAAAAGGATATGTGTGCTAGCGTGAAACTCTGGATAATATCACAAAAGGCTACTTCCAGTACCTGACACAGAACCTGGGGAGAAGATGGCTTTTAGGGAATTGTTAGAAATTTCTCTGTCTACATCATCTAGTTCCATGAGTTGCTGTTATAGATTTCCCATCTACATTTTATGTCATGAGATATGTGTCTGAACATGAGCTTCTCTCATTCTGTTTGAATTCAGTCTTTTGGAAGCAAGATACTTGTTTCCACTAAAACTTTGCTGTGATCCAATTATAGGTGGCAGCTAAATAAATTCTAGGGAAGCCCCAGGAGACCTGATTGATGTGAGTTTTCAAGATGGCAAACACACAACAAAGTACAAGGGCTGTGGCCACTTTTTTGAAGAGCCATGGAAGAGGTAACACTTTTTATATAGTATTTTAAATAATACACAATATATATTAGATATTATATGTATAATGCCATATATTACATATTACATAAACATATTGATTTTGCTCTTCAGCAAGGAATTCTGAAACATTAGTTCAATTCCCTCTTCATCTTGAGGGGAATGAAACCTGTACCTCTTAACTCTGTTTGCCAGACTACAAAATAGCTTGGCAGGAATAAAAAGCTGGATTTCAGCAACCTCTGTGGTGAATGTCAGCCTTTACACCACCAAGTAATCTGGCAAGACACAGAGTAACTACACAGGGATAATCTCATGGTCAGGACATTCATCTGGTTCTTTTGTCAGGATTATTTTTTAATATCAAAACTGAAACTCCCTGGTCTCTTCCTATTCCTTGCTGAATGCCCTAAACACAAGAATAACATGTGCTTCCTCTTGTTTGCTCTCCCGTGGTTCCAAGACCATACAGAAGTTCAGATTCTGTCAAAGGGAGGAGATGTGACCCAGCAGATGGGTGCTTGTGGTCAAAGAAGCACTCCTGCATCTTGGAAGCTGTGTATACCAAGCAATTGAACTGTAGATAGAAGTCCAGATCTGTTTCTGTTCTCACCTGTTTCAACAAGATGCCTCCTCAGTGGTGTTTGTCTGGGAAGGATATTTCCTGGATATATCCAAATCTTGCTGTTGACTATAAACATGCCATTGAGATGTTTGTCAGACTCTTAGTACATGCAAGACCCTGTTTTTAGGTCTCCACTAGGTCCTAAAGTCTTAACAAATTTTGTAAATGAAAACAATGTATCTTATTTAGATAGAAGTTCATTAAAAAAAATAAAAAGTAGGCAATGTTATTTTAAACTTAGGAAGGCTTCAATCTTGAAATGTAGATTTTGTCGTTATAATTCTTCCTACCAGTTGGAAGTAAGTGCAAGCATGTCTCCTTTTCTTTACGACTGAGTCATAAATTCAATCTATTAGACTGAAAAGGACCCTATATATTTCCTTCAAATTACAAAAGAAAAGACAGTTACTGACCACAGTATAATTGTACTGCTCTGTCTTCATTACTTAGCTATAAAAAGATATGTTCTAACACACTTATCTCTTTGTTTCCAGGATAGCAGTCTATCTTGAAATTCGGCATTTGGACAAGAAAACCAGCAGAACGTGTAATTCAGAGGCCATTTGTGTCAGCTTTGTTTGAAATCCTGCTCTAAATCTGAATGACAGAGAATGAATGTGGCCTCCGTTCATGACATGAGCTGAAAAGTTATGAGCATTAACAGCTTTACAGTCAGCTCCTTAAAACATGAATTGCATTTTAGTAGGTTTTCTTGAAACAGTATTCCCTACATTTAATGCTTCATACCATGGCACTTTATACCACATTCAGCCAGCATATCATATTCACATGGCACAGCACAACCACCAAAAGAAAAATAGAGGGAAAAGAGCAGAAGAAAGTAAAAGTGTAGAGATAAGGCTTGAGGTGAGAAAATATATTATATTACCTACAACTTGGTATTCACTACCTTAATCTGAAAAGGAAGCATATTTAAATTTAAAATAGAAAAGTAATACTTAAAATCACATTTTAAATTTTCATATTGAAGTGCTTTTCAGTAGGTAGGTAGGTTCCTGTATTTAACAGTGTAGAATGAAACAGAATATTTATGAAGAATTACAAAATAGCCATTCATTGGTAAACTTATCTGAGCTCCTTCACAACAGAATCCATGAATTTTGTTTACACTGACATTTAAGATTACCCTTGAAAGTAACCTTTTTCCAGCTTGAGCTTTACAAATTGGTCTTCTCTGCCTACATCTTAACTTAGCATCTGCACTGCAGACCAGTGCATTTGCTTCTTAATCCTTCCCAGAAGCCCTCCATGAAAAATGAAATTATTGCCATCTCTGCTTTCAAACTTGACCCTGACTGTGACAGAAAAAAAAGTGAATAAAGGACGGAGGCATTTTGAACTTCTCTGGGTGAAGGGTTGCCAGGATAAGAGACAGGAGAGGGACATTTTACAAGGGCAAATAGTGATAAAACAAGGAGGAAAGATTTAGATTAGACATTGGGAAGAAATTCTTTACTGTGAGAGTGGTGAGGCACTGCAACAGGTTGCCTAAAGAAGTTGTGGGTGCCCTACCTCTGGAAGTGTTGAAGGCCAGGTTCGATGGGGCTTTGACCAACCTGTCTCATGGGACATGCCCATGGCAGGGGGGTTGGAACTAGATGATCTTTAAGGTCCCTTCCAACCCAAATTATTCTATGATTCTGTTCCTCTATGATGACACGAGTGAGTGGTGTATACATCGCACACCTACATACCCTAATACTCAGTTTTCTTAGGCTAACTCAGTTTCTAGCACAGGTGTTTAGCAGCTCTAGATTCATGTCAAATGCCATCACAGTAATTAAAAGAAAACTTCTGTCAATTCTGGAAGAATCTATACTTCCCACTATTTTAAGTTAATTGAAGACAGAACTGAATGGGATTTTAAGTATTACATTTGAGCTCTGCTAACACATAGCACCATTCTAGATTAAAAGGTATTTATAGCTGACATGGTAAAAATCAGTAAAGAGATAAGCCATGAGGTAAACTCACCCATGCAGGAGAAATTTATGAACACTTTGAATTAAGCTCATTTTTAAAATTTAAATGTTATCCTATTTCAAAAACAGGTGGAAAAATTATAATAACAATAGTTGTATGCAGCCTGAAACAGTGTAACTTATTAAACAAAGTGCAGATAAGAACTTAAAATGCAACATAGCACAACAGATGTAGAATAAAACTATTAGCTTTAAGCCTATTTGAATGTTAATTGATGATGCATTTGAACAACCACAGAAAATAGTGGATATGTAGCCAATTAAAATTTAGGGAGAGCCTCTTTACCTTGCAATCATAAAAGTCCATTTCCTACTTTACTAAAATTGAGGTAAACACAGAAAATGACAAATTTACAACATAATGAATCTACTCCCTACAAAACTAGACAACGAACACTTACAATGCAGAACCCTACACACTGATCAAAGTCTGTCACACTGAAGTTCTACCATAACAGAAGAAACACATCTTTGGAAGTGGACATCAACATGTAAAAAGAAAAATGTCTTGAGCTCATACTGTCTTCAAATGCAAGCACAAGGTATCTCACCGCAAACAAATCTTAAATATAAAAAGAGAAAAAAAAAAGTATCTTAATAGTCTCCCTCTCATTTGCCATTCCCAACAGATTGGCAATCAGCAAGATACAGCGTTTTTGATAGCTTTAATCATCTTCCACTACTCTCTGCTAGTTATCTCCATTGAAGAAGAAAACTAAGAAGAGAAATTATAATAGAAAGTAACAAACTGCCAAGGTATGAAAGGACAGAAATATAATTGTTAAGGAAATCCTCTTTCATTTCAAATCTTTCTTTGAACTGGCTTATAAAATGACAGATAATATATTCATGAAGAGAATATAATTTGAGTTTATTACCTCATCATAACCAGGATATTATAAACTAATTTGGGATGCTCAAAATTACATCGAATAATGCACAAAGAAATGCTATCCCACAATTAAGGAGCTCTGAATCATATGAAGTACTTCATAATGATTTTCTCAGCCCAGACTACTCTTTAGTCGTAGAGAGCTTTGCACATTTCCAAATTTTTTTTTGAGTCTGCTTTCTCAGATTGACACTAGTTTCTAAAAATCTCGACTAATAACAGGTCAATGACTTGCTGCAGACAAGCAACTCATATTGTAACATGGTAGAAAAAGTTGTATTTCAGTGTTTCAAAACTGAAAAACAGAAGTTTACAGAAAATCGTTCCACAGAGTTTCAAATATTCACCATCAGCAATAAATAATTCATAATATATTTCCAAATCACAGAGCAATATATAATTTTCCTTCAAAACAGTAACTTGTCACACAAAACAGAAAAGAAGTTATTAGTAATTCTGTGTTGGAAATCATATGTTCAAAAAATGTGAATCTCTATAGCAAATAATATTTACTTGTTAGATTTATGTTTTTACTATAAATTCTTACCTAAGTTGTTTAAAAGCTTCTGCTTTTACAAGTGGTGTTTCTACAGAGTGTTCAAAAAGTGCTCCTTCAGGCCCTGCGAAAAAAAAAAAGAAAAATACTATAACGTAACAGAATGAAAAAAAAAGTAACAGTTTTGATATGGCCACCTTGATATCAGATATTCGGATAAGAAAACAGAAGTTTGAACAGTATGACACTAACAAAAAAACCCACAGGGCAATATTATTTTGAAATGCACTAAATTGATTTCTTTTCTTAATTTCCTACTTTATATTTTAAACTGTAAAGAAAGAACATTAATTATTATATGAATATTACTATATTTACTATTTAATAGGCTACTGCTTATTAATATAATGTAATTCTAAAATACACAAGAACAAGATATTAATTTTCTCAATGAGAGGATTGAAGCCAGCAAGATTCATTAACTTCCCACGCACCCTATCAAGCAAGGACAATTTTCCTTCTCAAAGTCTAACAGAATGTTTATTCATACCCTCAGATTGTCTCCTACTTAACTTACCTTCTGAGCAGAAGTGTTAAAATCAAACACATATCCTCACATTGCACTTCAGCATTAGATAGGCAAACTGAAAACCTTTCCATAGAACAGAGCACTAGAAAATCACAGACAATACTCAGACAATACTTCAGGAAATGTTTATAAACGTCAAACAAGCAGAAGTACAAGTAGTAAACTAGAGAAAGGGTGATATAGTATGTTTCTCCTTAAAAATATTGATCCCCTCTGCCCTGCCAGCTTTCCTTCAAGAAAAAAAAAAGTGTAGATGTGGGGACATGGTTTAGTGATGAACACAGTGGTTGGTTGAACTTGATGATCTTAGAGGGCTTTTCTAACCTTAACAATTCTGTTTCTATGAGTCTGCCATGACAACATCGTTAGTTATAAAGCACTCAGCTCTTTGCCAGTCAATAAACTGCTACAAAGTGGGTTTCACTCTCACCAATGCCACCTGGAGGTATAAAACCCTACCAGAACAAAATGTTGATGTTCAGTACCTCTGTAGCAACAATGTCTGCAAAATATGCAGGTGATTTCTGAAAATATTAAAGAGGATGTAATTGGAGTATGCGCTTTTTCAGGTAGCAGTAGTCGTCATGAAGGGTTAAGCTGAGCTTCAGTTTCATACACTTAAATTTAAGAATTTAGTTGCCTAATCATATTTACTTACTGTCATCTGAAATACCCTTGTACATCCTGCCTGGCCTTCAGCTGCCATGATCAAAGGAAGCATCTCTTGTAGATACAGAGATATCATGTGGTGTCTCACATACCCTAAGGTGTTTCACATGCAGCTGGATGTGAATACTAATGTTTTAGCATGTGAACTCAGCCACTATCCATGGTATTCCACGGAGATGAGTGAGCTGTTAAGCTCACCCTAAAGCAGACATTTGGTTGGCACAAGAGCTCTTCATGTGGCAGGTCTATGTGTCCTCTTCATGCTCCAGGATGCATTGGCTGTGGACTGAAGGTTCGATTCAACCATCTGAATGAGCACCTAAGACCTGTCAGTGACCCTTTGGGGTATCTGTGGCACTTTGCTGGTTATGGTTTTCCCCAGGCATATGCTCTTCTTAGAGCAGAGAGAGTCTGCTGCTATTTTATTCTACCCCATGGGCCAGAAAATATCTGACTGAAATAATGTTGAAACACACTAAATTGTAGGAAAATGACAATTCTTGTTGGATTAGATCAGCTTATTCTTAGACTTTTTCCTTTGTCCTGAAATATCATAAATAGTAGACATTTGCTCTCTGCTATATTATATTTTAGTTGAAAACTGTTAGGTTTTCTTACAAATCATTACTGCGCTTTTCGTAATTCACATAAGGAGAAATAAAATCAAATAGTTCACTATATTGTACATAAAAAACCGCAAAATGTTCTTTGTGTATTTTAAGCCCGGGGTCATCTGTTTCTTATGATATGAACTCTTCAAAATTTATTTCACACTGATCTTGTTCTCTATCTAAAATGTTTAAAAATTATCTCAGTATGCAAAGTACTACAAATGTATCCTTCATGCTAATAGTACAATTTAAATCACAATAATTTATCCTTCATGCTAATAGTATCATTTAAATCGCAATTTTAATAAATTAATTTGAAGCAAAGTAGGCATGAATCACCTCTCACTTATATTAATTTTACACTGAAATAACCTCAGTGACTTTACGTATTTGCTTTTGAATTGTACTACAGTGTACAAAAGAAACAGGCAATATGTCTTTCTACAGGATCTGTTGAAGTAAATAATTATGAATGCAGTGTAAAGATTCACACTGGATGAGTCAGAATACATTCTCTAGCTCGTATATGAATGATTTTTACTTTGAGTAGAGATAGACCTTTTCCAAATCAGTTAACAATTACGCAGTTTTCTATATCTTTGTTAAACATGCTTTTCTATTAAAGTTTAGCATCCCTTGGGCAAACAATAATTATTTGATATGGTTTCCTGGTTAAACAAAGTTGTAATTTCAATTAGGTTAAAAAGTAAAAAAACCTAAGATAAGAACCTCAGGCATAAACAAAATTTATTAACATAGTTATTATAACTTAACTTTGGCTTTGAAACACTAATCATATAGTGACTGCCATATTTATAGTCTTATACAGTGAAATAATATGAATCTATTCATTAAAATCAAGACCTCAAGATTTCAGAGGACCAATAATTAGCAAAAGCCAAACACGATAGTTGCAATCTGGTAAAAATATTAAAAATATATTTGAAAACAAGTTACAGAATAATTTTAATATTTCCTTTGATGGACTCTTCTGCTTAAAGAGAAATCACACCTTGATCCATTTTAATACAACCTTACACCTAGAAAATGAAGGTTGAATTTATCAGGCCATATGAAAGGAAATAGCTTGTCATGTGATAACTTTGATGTATTACTTTGTAAATGAGTACTTTAGTGATTTCCAGAAATAGCCTAAGACAAACTTGTCTTTTGACAAATGACATTTAAAATATACTACAAATATCATCCTGTGAACTTAATCTGGCCTTTGAACTTAATGTGGCCACTTCTGTTAAGGACAACAAAAAGTGTTTTTATAAATACAACAATAGCAAAAGGAGGGGCAAGGAAAACCTTCATTCTTTGTTGGACACAGAGGGGAACATAGTTACCAAAGACAAGGATAAGGCTGAGGTACTTAACAACTTCTTTGCCTCAGTTTTCAACAAGAACACAGGTTGTCCTCAGCACAACTGGCTTCTTGGGCTAGTAGACAGCAACGGGGAGCTGAATAACCCCCCTGTTATCCAGGAGGAAGAAGTTAGCGACCTGCTGAGCCACTTGGATCCTCATAAGTCTATGGGACCAGTTTCATCCTAGGGTGACGGAACTGGTGGAAGAGCTCATCAAGCTGCTCTCTATCATTTATCACCAGTCCTGGCTCACTGGGGAGGTCTCAGATGACTGGAAGCTGGCTAATGTGACACCCATCCACAAGAAGGGCTGGCAGGGAGACCTGGGAAACTACAGGCCTGTCAGCCTGACCTCAGTGCCTGGCAAGATTATGGAGCAGATCATCCTAAGTGCAATCACACAACAGCTACAGGATTGACAAGGGATCAGACCCAGCCAACACAGGTTTAGGAAGGGTAGGTCCTGTCTGACCAATCTGATCTCCTTCTATGATCAGGTGACCTGCCTGGTGGATGAGGGGAAGGTTATAGATGTGTCTATGTGGACTTCAGCAAAGCCTTTGACACTGTCTCCCATAGCACACTCCTGGAAAAGCTGGCAGCCCATGGCTTGGACAGAAGAACCCAGTTCTCTGCTGGGTTAGGAACTGGCTGGAGGGCCGGGCTCAGATAGTGGTGGTGAACGGTGCTGCATCCAGTTAGCAGCTGGTCACTAGTGGTGACCCCCAGGAATCAGTGTTGGGCCCAGTCCTGTTTAATATCTTTACTGATGATCTGGACAAGAGGACTGAGTCCACAATCAGTAAATTTGCGGCTGACACCAAAATGTGGGGGAGTGTCAATCTGCTAGAGGGTAGGAGGGCTCTGCAGAGGGACCTGGACAGGTTGGATAAATGGGCTGAATCCAAAGGTATGATTTTTAACAAGAACAAGTGCCGGGTCCTGCACTTTGGCCACAACAACCCCATGCAGCGCTACGGGCTGGGCACAGAGTGGCTGCAGAATGACCAGGCAGGGAGGGACCTGGGGGTTCCAGTCAAGAGGAAGCTGAACATGAGCCAGCAGTGTGCCCAGGTGGCCAAGAAGGCCAATGGCATCCTGGTCTGTATCAGGAACAGTGTGGCCAACAGGTACAGGGAAGTGATTCTTCCCCTGTACTCTGTGCTGGTTAGGCCACACCTTGAGTACTGTGTCCAGTTCTGGGCCCCTCAGTTCAAGGAGGATATTGAGGTGCTGGAGCAGGTTCAGAGAAGAGCAACGAGGCTGGTGAAGGGACTCAAGCACAAGTCCTGTGAGGAGAGGCTGAGGGAGCTGGGGTTGTTCAGTCTGGAGAAGAGAAGGCTCAGGAGAGATTTCATCACTCTCTACAACTCCCTGAAAGGAGGTTGTAGCCAGGTGGGCGTCAGTCTCGTCTCCCAGGCAACCAGCAGCAGGACAAGAGGGCATGGTCTTAAGCTGTGCCAGGGGAGGTTTAGGCTAAACATTAGAAAGAAATTCTTTAAAGAGAAAGTGATCAGATATTGGAATGGCCTGCCCAGGGAGGTGGTAGAGTCACTGTCCCTGGAGGTTTTTAAGAAGAGACTGGATGTGGCACTTAGTGCCATGGTCTAGTTGACAGGGTGGTGTTGGGTCATGGGTTGGACTCGATGATCTCAGAGATCTTTTCCAACCTAGTTGATTCTGTAATTCTGTGATATATGCTACACACATAGCAGAAATACAGTAGCTTTCACTTTGCAAGATAAAACCATATAAAAATATCACAGAGAGCCCATAGTTTTCACAAATCAAACTCATTACAACTCAGACTGGAATATCTAGAATTTTTTCAGCCTCAAACAGTGTGCAACGGAAACATTAAATAATTCAGAAAAAGATGCATCAGTACAGTTCCAATCACTAATGGCTTTAAAATAAAATAAACACAGACATATTTACATATTTTTACATATGTATTATTTTGCTTTCAAAAGTTCTTACTGATTATTTATTGGAAAAGGTCAGAATATCTTCATATTTCTGTTTCTTAACGAGGTAAAAATGGAACTTGTATTCATACATAATGATGTATTTAAAAATGCCACTTTTATTGTACTTTTCTTATGGGTATTATTTGAGCATTTCTTAAACGGTTACAAACCTGTGACTCGAAGCTTATCTGTGCCAATTACAACCTCATTTTCATCCACTGTAAAAAGTGGTTTTCCATCCTTTGAGTTGATCTGAAATTGCTGACCGTGGAATTCTACCATTTTAGGACCTGCAAAGCACAGTAGAATAATGAAATAATGACATCATCTTTTTTTAATTTTCTATATAAATGGCTAATACTTTTAATTGGTGTCTTAATAATTTAGTGACCCATTTAAGTACACTAAAGATCATGAAGCACCCAGATATTCTAAGGATAGTGGCCCTCTAAGTACGGAAATTGGATAAGTCTATTTACATGATCTAATTTGTTGTTCAGAACTGTGCCTGTAGTCATGCTTTATAGTTGGTTTTCCAGGGAATTTAGGAAATCCCTTTCAAATTGATCAAGACAAACATTCATGTTCTTGGTGTTGAAACTGCTTTGATCAGTATGAGTCTAGCATATTTTTCTTTTTTTTGAAACACAGAAACTAATTATCAAAGCCTTTGCAGCATCATCCTTTTTGACTAGGGAGGTTCAAATGATTCAAAATTACAAACGTTCCATGATAAGAGCAGGATGCTCAGCTCTTCAAAACAAATGTCAGTTTAGCTACACATATCCAGCAAATATTACTGATTATGTTCTTAAAAGAGTTTCAAGAAACTATGAGAGTATTTGCAATTGATTCTGGTACTCCAAAAGTTAAAATAATTGTGCACAAGAGAATCTGCATATTTCGAGATCCTAAATTCACTAAAACATCATGTTCTACACTACTGGCTTGCTAAGTGGATAAAAATCAAACCCGTTATATTCCCTTTTCCAACATCCTGATGAATTAAAAATTCACACCACGTAAGTTTGAATATCTATTTTATGGAGTTGTCATCTAAATCCATGTTCAGAATTAAAATTACAGAGAATGCTCAATGCAATTAAGACTCCTTTTCAGCAACTTTTAATAAAGGTATTTCACAGACTATCCATGGAACCAAGAGGCAATGAACTGCTTCCTTCCCATTAAGAACTTGTCTTACCATGTCTACTCCCCTAAGTGTTAAATATATTCCAGGCAGTAATTCTCAAAAAAATAGGAATTCTTCTTTTTGTTAGACCTTATGTTAAATTAGACCAGTTGGTCAGAGCATGGTGCTAACAATGCCAAGGTCACAGGTTTGATCCCCACATGGACCACTCACTTAAAGAGTTGGACATGATGATCCTTGTGAGTCACTTCCAACTCAGAATATTCTCTGATTCCCTGGAAATGGCATTAGGCGACAGATGATTGATAGTGCTAAGAAGAACATGCAGGTATTTCACAAAATCTGCATGGTAGCTGGTACAAGAGATGCATACCATAAGGTCCAAACAAATTCCTTATTGTTTTAGCAGATACAAAGTAATTGCTTTTAATAGCCCACCAAGCATGGAAAGGGTTATAGAAGCCATAATGTCCTAAACCAGGGCAATAATTTTAAGGCGTAAACCCCAATATTGATTCTACTTGAAAATGGTCAGGATAGAGGGCTGAACTCTGCATTATGTTACACTCTGTTGCACATGTGCACCCAGGCACAGCCTTACAGACCTCATTTTAGCTCTTCTCTAAAGCCACTATGAAGCATATGACTTAATTTCTGAGAAGTATGTTGCAAAAAGTGATATCAGGAAATATCTTCATTCAGTGATAAGGCATTAAACAGTATTTTTTTTAGAGCAAAAGAAGAAGCTCTGGGTAAGTGAAGCAATCTTGTCAATGCCTTCCTAGAAAATCCTGGTTAAGGTATTTTATTTAAGGTCCCTTCCAACCCAGGCCATTCTATGATTTTATGATTGTTCCCGTTTGTGCCCAACAGCATTAACAAAACTGGCTATTTATGTAGTGTAGCCAGATCCTTCTGTATTCAAACAGATCAAAGGCATGAATAAACTGGGTATTACCAACTTTACTGGTGTTGCAGAGGCTGGTTCCTCATCCTTCCCATTCATCTAATCCCATGATTTTTAAAGCCAGACTTAATCAAGGAAAAACTCTGCAAGAGAGCACTCACTGAACATTATATACTTTCCAAAGAAGCCTTAACTTGTCTCTCTTTGAAACTACAACTCACGGCCTTGCCTGTGCTGGGTTTCCATCCAGATTTCTCTCCTGTTTGATCCTGGACCTTGCACACTTCAATATATTTTTAACAAGAATATTCAGGTCCACAGTTTTCTCAACAAAAATGCCCCAGTAAAGTGGCACAATGACTGTCCTATAGATAACCTTCATTATCAGAGAATAGTATGGATAATAATTGATGTATTTTATATCTTTAGAGGGAATAATAGGGTAAACAAAATTAAAGTGTATGTTTTATTCATGCTAGAGATGAGACATCTCAGTATATGTGGAACAAGTTTCAAAAAGGAATAATAGGCTTTTACACAAATGGGAATAAATTTATGTAATGAAAAGTAGCCATTAATCTCTCATAGTTGTATTCCACAATACACATACACTAGCTACCTTGCAATAACACTAATTGTATTGTGATCCCAGTGAGGTTAATTTTCAACTCATAAACAGCAGCCAAATTCAATATCTGAAACTTTAATCTCCTAATGCCTAAATATGTCTTGTTTGTCATCCTAGTATATTAACTACATGTAAGTCAACTAATACTATATAATCGTATTTATTGATAAAATCCTACAATTAAAAACGCAACCTGACTGAATGCAGGTTATAGAAAAGTGTTCGTTTTCCACTTACTGACAGATGTGTCTTCCAAAAACAACTGAAATAATACTAAACAGTCTTCCTTTTCATTTTATATCCTCACTCTTGACTCCCCTAGGGGTTTTCTAGGGAAGGAAGGTCTTTTATTTACTGTGATTCATACCTAAGCATACCTACTGGATCTGGGCAGAGGACAATGTGAGAGGATCAGTTAAACAGGTGGGGAATGACTGAGCTGATAACACAACTGTCTAGTCCATTTACATACTTCTGTGTTCTCTGCCTGGCCTTCAGCTTATTTTTGATGTCCTAGTGTATCCAGGACTTCTACATCAGATTAGAAAGTCTGACATGGGGTCTGTAAGCAACATGAGCTCTTTCAGAGGGTTAGCTGAAGACTGGGCAAGATGGAACTACAGAAGAATGCAAGCCAGAGGTCACCGCTGGAAGTCACCTGGTCCCACCTACTGATCACATCAAGGTCAGCTTGCTTGGAAGTTAGATAAAGGTTTTCAGGGTCTTGTCCAGGCAAAATTTTAATATGTCTGAGGAAGGGAATTTAACAGCTTCCCAGGACAATTTCTTCCCATGGCTAACCATTCTAACAGTGATATTTCCCCCCACCGTTTATCCAGTTGCATTTTGCCTCCCTGGAACCCATGACCATTACTGTTTTTTGCCCTTTTGTTGTGCACCCCAAAAAGAATCTGGATTCATACTAGTGAAAGGACAAGGTGAAATAGCCTCAAGTAGCAGCAAGCGAGGTTCAGGTTTATATTACAAAAAATTTCTTCACTAAAAGAGTGGTTAAGCATTGGAACAGGCTAACTAGGAAAATGGGTTAGAAAAGTGTTCAAAAAATGAGTAGATGTGGCACTGTGTGATATGATTTAGTTGGCATGGTGGTATTCAGTTGAAGGTTGGACTTGATCTTGAAGGTCTTTTCCAATCTTAATGATTCTATGATTCATTTCGTCTCTAGCCCTCCTAGTATCAGGCAGAAGTTGGAAAACCCCCTTTAAGCTTTCTTTTCTTGCAGGTTAAACAAACACAACTTCTTCAGACTCTTATACTTCACATGCTTCCACTCCCTGACCATCTTAACGGCACCTTGTGTGCATCTCCTCAGTTTGCTCACAGTTTTGTCATGCTGGAGAGGGCTTAACAGTATTCCAGACCCGGCCTCCCAGGTGTGGAATGATGTAGCCCAGTGTGCAATTAGTCCTCGCTGCCACAAGGGTACACTGCAGATATGTGTTCAAACAGTCCATCAGGATGGGGGTGTCTTCTGCAGACCTGCTGCAAAAAGACAGGGATCTAGCTCCTTCTTTTGGCCACTAACTGCACGAGATTTGATAGTTACACTTGAAATGATTAGGATTTTAGATGTACTTGATTATCCAAATTCTATCACAAATTACAGGCACAGTAAAAGTCAGCTATTTTAACCTAGCCTTTACAGATCCTTCTAGCATTAATCAATGCCAAAAATTCAATATTCTTACTGCTTTAAAGAAGGAAGTTGTAGAAACTGTCCTCACCTTTAGCAATAGCTATTATCTTCGAATTACCATCCAATTACTTATGTTAATAATTACTGTACCATAGGAACAAAGATACATATGGGATTGCAAATTTACTGAGACTGTGGAAGTTGAGAAGGTCATAAAACATTTAATAATTTCCCTTTTTTCCCTTATTTTGAATTATTTTCTCCCATTGGAATAAAGAGAGAATGAAGCTATTCAGACAAGTAGTTGCTCTCTAATGAGAGACAGGTATCCACAAACTGGTTATTTTCCAAATAAAAAGGGATTTCCTAAACATTAGCCTTTTTTTTCAGAGCAAAACCCTGTAGACTTGTTCTTTTCTTACAGACTTGGTCAAAAGAGAAGTGACGGCATAGGATTCTAATCCCCTGGGTCAGGTTAAATTTCTCCTTAACTGTGGTGATGTCATACTTAAGCAAGTTGGCAATACACATTATCATAGAATCATTGAATGGTTTGGGTTGGAAGGGACATTAAAGAATGCCTAGTTCCAACCCCCCTGCCATGGGCAGGGACACCTTTCACTGGAACAGGTTGCTCAAAGCCCCATTCACCCTGACCTTGAGCACTTCCAGGGATGAGCATCCACAGCTTCTCTGGGCAACCTGTTTCAATGCCTCACCACCCTCACAGTAACTATCTTTTTAACTCTCAGAGGACGTTTTAAGTCTGGCTTAAATCAGCCCTTCTGACTGTGAACATTATCATACATTTCTTCATAAAAACTAGCATATTTGGGGACAGGGTATGCACATCTTGCTATGGTAAGTACTCTACTATTCATGGTGCTTAGACATCAGTGGTACTTTTTTTCAGAAGAAAATATTTCTCATTTGAGTCTAAACATT